AAAGAAAAAGGAAGATGGAAAAAGTCGGAGCAAATAAAATGTTGGTGAAGATTTCGAACCCATAGGCGCTCTAAATTTTTGCAGTAGCAGACGAGTTTTATTAGCTCGTTGCTGAATATTCCCGGAGCATAGCTCAAGTTCAGGGAAGTCAGGTCCATGCAGATTGGGTATATAGAAGGAAGGCAGCGAGGGTTGACATCCAGAAATCCGGATAGGCTTCTTATGGATGCGTACTTCTGGAGGACATTTTGGAGTTTGTTGCAAACGTCTGAATCAGGATCGTGAACGAAAGAACCCGTTCCTAAGTCGTTCAGCTGAGGTGCTTTCACTAGTATCCTCTGGAGAGCATCGAGAGGGACCGAGTGGTTTAGCCTCAGGCTTCTGAGGTTAGGGCATCTCGCCACCAGTCTCTCGAGGGCCGCCACATTGACTTCTCCCTTGAGGCATGCGAAATTCAATGAGACAAGAGAGGTGGAAGTCTCGGGGAAACAGTTGAGCCATAGGCCCTTGCGGTCATCGACTTCATTTTCCTGCAAGTCGAGCTCCCTGAGAAACCTGCATCGTAGAACGTTCAACCGTGAATAGGATAAGATTACTTTGTCCAATCAGTTAGGTCAACCGAATATGTTCTTCATGACAGACTTACAAAGGCAAAGCACGAAACAATCCTAAACAACTTAATTAGTCCATTCATTTCCAAAGCACAATCTCATTTATTAACACCTAATCTGTAAGCAGTTAACAACAAACAAAGACTTTCACAACGTAATTAGGACACAAAATTCATTTCTGAGTCCACTCAGCACCGGCAACAACCGGCAGCCTTTGTGCCCGGTAATAACATTTCAAAACGATATGTTCATACAGAATAAGCAAAGAAACCCTAGATCAACACCACAAATATCTAAAATTACATCCAAGAAAAAATCATCTAAGAGAGGAAAAAACATGCAATACCTGCAACTGGATACAATGGCAGCAAGACCATCGGTTGTGAATCCCTCACAGCTGACCAACACCAAAGACTTGAAATTGGGGAAAGACCTTGCAAGCAGCTCGAGGCTCTCGTCAGACACCACCATCCTTTTCAATCTCAGCTCTTCCAGATTTATTCCGCTCCTGGCCATGGCATCAATCCAGGGGTACACATAGCCGCCCCAATCATAGGGCACCAGATTGAAGTCGGCAAAATGGGGCTTCCCCTTGAGGGTCAACGACCTGAGCCTAGGGAACCTCGCAATCAACCGCTTGGGGCTGATGGCATAGCAGTTACCAATAAAGACCTTCTCCCTGCTGAACCTTTCCACACTGTACCACGACTTGCACACCAGGGAAACCGCGTTTCGGTCCTCATGAGAAGTCAGGAAATCGAAGACGTGCTCCAATACTTCCTCAGGGAAGTAATTAATCATGCTCTGACACAGACGCATCGGATCCAGCTCTAGATTTAGGGTTTTTTGTAAGTCAACTGGTCGTCAGTTTTATTCAATGGGTACTTAGAACTCCCAAAAAACAAAAAAGAAACCGTGAGATGGACAAGAGATGGAGTAGATCTGAATAAATACGGAGCTGGAAACCGGAACTAGCAAATTCTATTTGCCTTCCAGAGTAGATCCGAAGGAATAATAGATGTCGGAAAGCAAACTAGAGTGATTTGAAGAAATGTTTCTAATCAAAGAAAAATTGTAGCCCTCGTACTGTTATTGGATAAGGTAACTCTGAGCTCCATTAGCAACATCATCATCATCCAGGAAATCACGAGGTGGTGATGATGGAAAAAGGGAAATAATCAAGAGAGACACTCACACACAACGACAAAACTCAAGTATAGTAAATTCTACAACATCAGATGAAGCAGAAATACACAGATCTGAAAGACAGACCAGAAATATCGGAGCTTTGGCAAATCAGAAACAAATAAATCAATTATTTTAGGAAAAACAGAGACGAGCTTGGACATGAAGCTCACTCATTCGCCGTATATTCTTTCTGAATATGTGCTTCTCTGTCTCTCTCTCTCTCTGAATAGCCAAAGCTGATAGATTCAGTCATCTCATCATCAGAGAAGGGAGATGGGGAATGGGAGGAGGTATCGTACTTTCCATGAGCAACTGACTAGACATAATAGTTGAATGTTGACCATGGTTGAGATGATATTAACCAGCGTTGGTGAAAATCGGACGGTGGGTGCGCTCTGGAGAAGGGAATCTTGACCGCTTGTTGGCATGCAAATGTCTCTATCTGTGGTTGATTGGTGTGGAGTGGAGGATGTTGAATTAATTGATGATGATAAGATTATTGCTGCTTGCTTATCTTTTGAGGAGAAAAAAGGAAATAAAGGAGGATATAAAATTATATTTTTGTGTGATCCCATGTGGGGATGGGGCGGGCATCTTCAGACAAATCACGCCTATATTTTTTATACTCTCGAGGGTTGTGTTTGGGGGAGGGTCATTCGGTCCGATTGGGTCCATGATAATTATTTTGTTATTTTTATAGGGGTTTTAATTAAATTATGTAATTCTTTCTTTCTTCCAACTTTGCTTGCTTCAATAATGAAATGAAACCTTTTAAGTTGCCTTTGCCATGTGAGAGGTCCACTTGATTATCAGTTCACCAAAATTGTCGGTTGAAACGGTCTCATTGCGAACGTTTTCTACGTGCAAAATATTGTTGGGGTACGCCGTATCATATATAGACATTTTGCTCAAGTAATAAATTTTATTATGTAATCTACAAAGTTTAAGTGAAACTGGATCAATTATTTATGATGGATTTAATGACTTACTTCAAAAGATAAGTGATTTCTTTATTGGTCAATGAATTCAATCCTTCATAATCAAAGTGGAAGATATACACAAATTTACTTGACCATCTCTTTCCTAAATCTTAGTAGTTATATAACTGATACCATATATCTTTAAATCGTAGAACCCAAGTCGAACAAGACTAATATTTATGGATGCTACATCATTTAGTCCTCCCACTCTAGGCGAGCTTGTTAGAAACTCTTCTTAGAGTAAAACAATCATTCCTTGACCAAGTCCATCTCGCGGGACTGTGGTGTATAGGTCTTAAACTCTCCATAGCTTTATTACGCCAGAGTTTTCAATATGCTTAGGCGGTACATACCTGTCAGAACAATCTTCATAGGACATTTGTTCTATGGGAACCTTTAACTTGAGACCCTACTCAAAATAAATGACCAAGAGGTCGATCCACATTCTTTATCATAGCCGAACCAAGGTCTCGACCCTACGCTTTTCGCTAGAGCTACCAAAACAATAGCTTGTTTTTTATCTTTTCACACATTGTAACTAGCGAACTAGTAGCTCATATTTGTGGTACATTCTTCTCTTCGTCTTCGAGCTTATTGGCTCGGTTCCATACTACATGCATTAAGCAATCAAATCAACATTATGCTTTTGTTCTGATCTCAGCTACCAAACCTTACTACTTGGCTTTAACCTACTGAGCTAGAAGTTTGGATTTGTTGTGCAATACTTTTTGTAGCTATTGAGCTTACTAGCTCGGCTTTACCCTAGATTCTTGTTTTTAATTGTTGAGTGTATTACCTCGGCCTTATGCTGTCATGTATCGAGTAGTCGGACCTTGTGGCTTGACCTTATACTTTTTTCTCTATAGCTACCAAGCTTGAGGGTTGGCCTTATGCTTAGGGGTGGGCGCGGTTTGGGACGGTCCAGGATTTGGCCTGTCCCTCTTTTATGAACCTATTCGGGACGAGACACCGTCCAAAATAGGCCGGTATCATTCAGACCAAAGACAATACAGTTCGGGACCGGGATAAAACGGGACAAAAAAATTACAAAAATATTTTTTTCAAGTAGAAATTGAAACTGGTAAACAATATCATCAAATAACAAATATTTAGCAAATTACATTATTTTTTTTTTTTTTTTGGCCAANTTTTTTGGCCAATCACCTAAACCAAAGCCAACAAATTCAATGTTTGTTTTTATGCTATGTTAAAAGTATGAAATGTGAAGAGTGAAGTGAAGTCTCGTATTGTCGTTCTCTTATCAGCTTTGACTCAGACACATATAGTCAATCAATCAAAATGCACATTGGGTTGTTTATTTATTAAGTTTTACGTTTTGGGCCAATTTGTTAGATTGTTTAGTTTCGGGTTTTATATGTTAGATAATTATAATGTTGAATGACAAAATCATAGACAAAAGGGACTAATCGACATATTGTTAATTGCGTAATTAATATAATACTAATATAAAATGTGATAATAATGTATAACATATATATATACATATTATTTTATACAAAGTAATTAAAAAGNCTAGAACCTTCGTAAACAGTTTACCCCATCTTTAAGGCATGCCTAATATCTCATTTCTAGATATTTTTAGGTCCAAGAGGTTTTCAGTACGTCTTTTATTCTGTAATAATATGCCCCATCTTTAGGGCATGCATGCCTAATATCTCATTTTTGAATTTTTTATGTCTAAGAGGTTTTGAAGTACATCTTCACGCATATCCATATTTGGAACAACATTATTTCTAGGATTCCAACTTCTCAGGGAAGAACTAATTCTTTCAATTCTGTTTCCTCCGTTGATCAAGTGAATTGGTACCCTCAATTCTTTCAATTTTGTTTTCTCGATTGTTCGAGTGGAATGCTAGAAATGCACACTTCTCCTGCATTCAAAAGGGCTTTGATATAGTGAACTGGTAGAAAGACACCGGTATGCAAAAGACCCTGGACGGCTGGAATCGACCTCGCCTTGAGTTTCCTCGCCAGTAGATCGTCTGCAAACTTGCAAAAACTCACACCGGAGGGATTTTTCGGTGAAGAGCATCTTATGCTTAAATGAGCACTTGTAGAAGATGAAGTGTAGAAAAGTGTATATAGTATATGTGAACGTGAGAGCTGATATCGTACATCTCACCCCTATTTATAAGGGTGGGTTACCTGCTTCTAGAAGCCTACCCGGATTGGGTGAGCTGGCTGCCCAAGCTGCCCGATAGTACAGCCTGCACTGCCCAGACTATCAGAGACGGTTATGAGGCGTAGACCAATCAAATGGTGCCACGTGTCTCTGCTCATGATTGATTACAAAAAGATTCCTTCTTATCCTCTTTGTATTAGACCGCCTAATGGTGCGACCAGCTCGGGGTCTATTGAGGTAGAATACTGACTGTTTTGAGCCCAAACGTTGTCCTAACTGGTCGATTGTACGACCAACCATGCCTACATGTCAAATTTCTATCAAGCCATTCGAGGACCCTAGTTCGACATTTTGTTGTTGCCTGTATCTCGTGTGCTCTCTCAGATCAAAGGCTCTTAGTCCTGCGTTGTTGATATTCGTCCACTACCACCAATCCTACTACGGTTCTCATCGACCAGGCGGTTTGTTCAGCCTAGTCGACTAGTTTATTTCCTTAAGTATGGTATCTCATATCAAAAACAACTCTCTTGCGCTTGATCTATTTCAACAAGTAAATAGGAACTCATTCATGACCAATTGACACGTGAAATGGTACAAAGCCACACTTGTCCTGCTTTAAAAAAGAGGGCTTGATCTATTTCATCAAAGCAATCGGTACTCATTCACGATCAATTGACAGGTACTAAAACTGATGACCTGGTCATACTGTGATGAATAAGTGATTAAGTTGAAATGCTGGGTATCAAGATTGAGCATATTTCGTATGAAAATTGATTCTATGTTATGAATTTATGGAGTTTTCCATGCTGTCCGTATTGCCATTTGGTAGTCGATAGTAGCCGGACCAAATGCACCACTACAAGAAATGGATTATGAGCGCATTGCAATAAAAATTAACAAAATCTAACAAAAAAATAAAACAAACCACCAAAAGGCCTGATACATCATTGAATGTAATATAAGATGCACGCTCAAGGAAAAGGAAATAAGCAAAACTCCTACACCCACAATGCTTGAGAGAAATTAATCCTCGCCCACCAACATCTCTGGAAAAGAATAACCCATCAGTGCTAATGTTCAGCAACTGCCTATTATTTTCATGCTCTGGAGATCTTTCACAATCCTTCAAAACATTATAACTAGTTCAACAAAATAACACGCAATTGGTGGAAGATTGGTACTCCATAATACCAAATTAGCAGAGTATAAAAAAACCATAGAAATGTTTTCGTATTCTCCATCTGCTAGGTGCCAGCCACACTCAAGAATTTTAATTTTATTGCCTCTTCTCATAATCTGTACTTCACCAATATTTCTACCAATTCTTATGCCTTTGCAAGTTCTGTGGCAGCTGGTGCAGGAGCCGCAGCACCACCAGTTGTCGGCCTGGAAATAAAAAGAAAATATACAACAAGTTAGCTTTTCAAAAACAAGATATGTATTGAACTGCAAAACCATATTTCCTAATAATTTGAGCCAGGGAATAACTTACAGCCCAACAAAAACTTTGAAAGCGTCATAGATACCCCACTGAGCCCCAGTGAGGGTTCCAATCATGACAATACGAAGAGGAAGTCCTCGGGTAAACAAACCCCACAATCCAAGCTTCTTTACGGCCTGTGAGAGAAGGTACAAGGACACAGTTATATAAATAGGAGGGAGAGAAGAAATGGAGGAAGAGCAGTAAATATATGTCGTGCAATTTAAAGTCAAATGGAGAGAATCAAGGTAACACAAATGGACTACAGCAGAACACACTCACATCACCAACAGTAGCACCCTTGGCATTGTTGAGGAAAGATACGAGGTTATCAGCGGGGTGTGACACAACAGCACATAGAACACCGGCAATATAGCCACCGGCAAAACTCACACCAAGCTGCAGACTCTTGCTGCAGTCGTTTTTGGGTGTGGGGATTGCATGCTTGTAGATGAGCTCCACAATGGTCTCAAAAGAAGCAAACTTCATCATAGTATCTGAAGTGAATATACACATTTGTTATATAAAAATTATAGCATTAGAAGACGGAGAAACTTTGCCACTACACACAGTCAGCTAAATTATGTGAAGAAAGAAGTCAAACGATTCCATGAATTCAAATACAAACTAGCACAATACATGAACCACCAAAAACATGGAATTATTCAATGATACAAGAATCAGCCGCCCCCTAATCCCAAGGAGCAATAACCTTATCTGCTTGATCCAATTCTTCCAACTTAGCCTTTTGTACTTATCTCTTGTGACTATGTAAAGCACATTATAAGTTTTGAACCACGCTTTCTTCTTCTGAAATTAAGAAGACGACACCTTGATATAAATTGACTAACTTAAAAACATCTGTTAACTATGTGCAAATCAATTTATACTAATTTGAATCCTAACTCAATCATTGCTTCAAAGGCGACATCAAGATTCTGTGTACAAACAAATAGGAAGATAATTCAGTGTAGCCAAATTGGTTTATTTCAGTATGGAGATTAGCAAAGAAATCTAGCATGGCAAGCAATATCAAGCTATTTAGCACCATCTCATTCACAAAGTACGGGTGAACAAATACAAAATGGTGTAATTCTCATTACTCAATGAAGCAATTCTCTTAACATAGTAATTCTGTGTTCTAGTCCAATAGATACCAACTCCAGCATTGAAATACAGCCGCCATGGGATATGTTCACATGCATGGCATTTAAGTGTTTAAAAACCGAACAAACGAAACTGGACCAATGAAAAACTAGCAGTTCTCAACTTACATGGAATCTGACGCCCCCAAAGTGGAACCAAGCCCTTGTACAACCTGCAAACGTTAACAAACTATGACCCCACCACTCAGCTTTAATAATTAAACAGATCAGAGTGCATGTATACATACCCAAGAGCACCTTCAGATCTAACAAACTTGGGAAGCCCATCGGACAACCCTCTAGCAAAGCCAGGCTGAGTCTGGACTCTAACCTTCACAGCTTCAAGGGGACAAAGGGCAATATCAGCAATCACCTCCGCTGATGCAGAACCAGCAAGATAAATCAAAGTCTTGTACTTAGATGCATATTCTGGTCCAGCAAGGTCTGAGTAGTACTTCTTAAAGAATTCATAGAATCCAAACTTGCAGGCACCCTGAGCACTGTACCCAAGCAGGGTAGGCACCCATCCCCTGAAGAAACCTCTTACTCCCTGCTCCTTTAATAATACTCCAAAACCTGACGAGATGCTCTTGTACTTTGCAGGGTCAATCTAAAAACATGCAAAAGAGATTCAGATACATCAGCCTGCCTATCTGTGGATCCAACACTCATGACCCAACCAGTAATATATACACCCGCCAACAGAATCCCCAGATAAATGCAAAGAACCAGGTTATAGTTCTTGGGTGTCACGAAGAATAATGATATTTTGATACAACAAGTATCTGATGTATGAATAAAGGACACAGTTAAGCAGATCGAAATGTTCGTGGGGCGCCTTCCCTCCATCACTCCAACCCAAAATTCAAATCATATTCATTCAATCTCAAGAACTTAAGGATAAAATCTTTGGCTCGACTTGGGTCTGTAGATTTGAAACCCATTGTGACGATTCCCACATAATAATAAGTTCAAAGCCCACACGTTATATGAGAAATACAATTATAATGATGCCTATCATCTAAACGAGATAAAGGCATGATGAGAACATGATCTACTCTATACCGACAAATCGGCAGAATAAATATGTAGAACACGGAATCATGTCCTAAGACGCCGAGTTACATAAGAAAGAGAACAATAACGATACCTACATACAATAAAAAGAAAAGGAGAATAAATAGATCTAATCTAAGGGAATCTCGACCATATCAGATGAAAGGCAAAATCAGCATTTAAAAATGAAGAAGAAGCGAACAGATCCGGACCTGCATATTACATTTGACGAGATCAAGAGGAGTGACAGCCATATGAGTAAGACCGCAGCTCAGTATTCCACCAACCGTACAAGCTGCGTAGAACTGCGGAGAGTACATCTCAATCTTGCCCGGTTCGCTGGGAGCGGGAATCATGAAACTCTTGTTGGGGGCCAGCGCCGAGAGTGACGGCTCGAGGGCAGTGCTGGGGTTTTTAGCAGCTCTGTCCAGGGCTAGGGTTTTGGAAGTGAAGGAGGTAGAGTAAATGAAGCTGGGAATGAGCGACTGGCGGTCTGAGGAGAAAGCCATGGCAAGGGAATATTCACGTCGGGGAAGAGGAGCGATTGGGCGGAAACCTAAGCACCACCCAAATTTAGCTCACTCTGAGATCCGCAGCTCTTCTTTCCACGACGGGAGGAATCAAAACGCGAGGCCACGACTAATGGTGAAGTGAAACGTGAGGCTTTTATAGTGGAGGAGACCCCTTGCGATAATGTATGAAATGAAACCTAATGGCCTCTTTTTCACGTCTATCTGTATAATAAATAATAATAATAATAATAATAATCACTTTTCAACAAATTTTTTTGGTGATTTAAATAAAATTATTCGTACTTTATTTTTTAATTTTTATTGATTTTTAGCTTTTAACATTATATATGTTTTTTTTTTTTATAAATAAACTATACAATATCCTTTGATTTGATTTTCAAAATACATTAATTGAAACATCTGTATAATTATAATTATAAAAATAACATCTCTATAAAAATATATTAACGCTGTTTAAAAGAATAAAAAAGATTTATAATCATAATAATTTAGCTATATTATTTCAATTGAGTTGTAAGTGATTTATTTTAAAATATATAGCCACAATTGTAACCATTTATAGTAGGTTATAAATTTTATTTCATTTTGTTTGGTTGTATAAAATGAGAAGATAATTTTATTCTTAATGTAGTTATTCGCCGTAACACCTAAGATTTATGACATTTAAAGTCTTGTTAATTATACACTAGTAATCATCCTGTGTACATGCACAAATATTATAAAATAGTATAAGTAACATGTGAAAATTTAATATTAAAACTCTAGATAATGAATCTATTACATTTTCAAGATTTCATCATTAGTAAAAATAAAATAACATAAATATAAATTATTTAAGTATATATGAATCACTCTATTGATTGAAAAAAGTTTCTGGGGAGTGCAATTTTTATAATTTGGAGGGATCATGGTCTAATAATTTAGTTGAAAAATTATTATTATTATTATTATTATTATTATTATTATTATTTCAATTGTTTATATGATATAAAGTGATTCGACTGTGCTATTAAAACTATTTAGCTAATTT